CCCCCCCCCCCCCCCCCCCCCCCCCCCCCAACCACCCCTCGACCACGAAACGCCTAGACGCCCCGCCACACCCAGCCTCGACCGAGCAGCGACGAGAACCAGCCGCACACACGGGGCATCATTTCCCACCACAAACAGATCACGCCAGGCGAGAAGAAAGAGATTCGAACCAGCCCAAACCGCATCGACTTCCTCGCCTTCTCCCGCACACACCTGCCTTCCCTCTCGCGAGATGGATGTGCCAATTTTAGGTAAGGGCTAAAGAGATCTTATTTTAGAAGCCCGGCCGGTTGGCGCGAACGTGATGCATTGCTGGGTTGGTTGAGGAAAATTCTTTCCTTGGCGGGGAAAGAAATGGTTTATGAGCGTTTTTGCCTGGGAAACTTTCGTTTCCGGGAGGGCCAGATGCTTAGAAACTTGAGGCTCTGGAGCAAAAGAAGAACATAAGCTCTACTCCCTTCGCACGTTTGTATTCACGTCATAAAGGATTGATGATGCTCTAATGAAAATAAGTTTTCTTCACCGTTAATATTTGGATGCATCTTCTGGGCAATCTCATGTTTGGGCCGACTTCAGCGACAGATCCGGTACGAACAGAGGTTCCAAAACAAATAGCTCAGCATTAATTTAATTCTGGAATCGTGGAAGCAGCTGGAAGATATGGAAAGAAAAGGGAGCCTTCACTGCACAGCGGTTTTGGCGGGAGTTGTTCTTGGCGAATGCGTCAAGAATTTCCTCCCGGAGACCCTGCCAATGTCTGTAGGTGGGACGAAGGAAAGAGACCGTGCAACTTTACTCTTCTGTCAATTGTCATCTTCAGATGTGATGTCTGGGTCCAACCCCTTCCCATCCGTGAATCGATTCCCGCCATGATCAGTGAAGGACCATGAATTGGCGATTTCTTTTGTGTATTTCCCTCTGTCTGCCTGTGATCAGGGCCTGCTCCACTCCCGCTTCCGGTCAAGGTCTCCGCCTCTCATCCGTTAATTACCGTACCCTATTTTCGTATCATATTTTAAATCGATCTATCTATCATTAGAAAAGGGAGGAGGTCAGCCGACGGAATCGGAATGTCGGCCCCTGATCGAGGCAGCTCTCAAGGGGCTTCACGGACACGAAGGCCATGCTGATTCAGGTGAGGAGGCCCTCAATTATTCAAGTGAGACCTTCGTTTTATTTTTAGTTGCTGTCGTGCGAAATCATTTCGTTGTATCGTCTTCCAAGTGACTAATGATCAGCACCAAGACTCGATTCCTTTAATATTCGTCCGTGGGCCCTGACTAACAATGACATTTGGTTGTGCCTTTCCAACGAATTCCAACTGCCATCTATGGTTTCCGTTAAAGAGACCAGGAGAAGTCACACGATCGTGATTATGCTCACATTAAGAAAAAAAAAATATTTTTTTGTTTAATTCACGGAATGAAATGTGATCATTCCCAGCTCAGGGTAGTGCTTTGAACCAGGGAATCGACCAAGGCCTTTCCAATCAGAGGCGAGACCTGAGGAGACTCGCGCGGCTAGCCAACTTCCTGTTAGCCACTGGCGACAATCTCATTTGAACATTTCTTGCAGCCCTTACTTTTGAACATGTTCGATTGAAATTCTTACTTGTGTTTGTATATTTTAAATATTCGGTCTTAGAGGTACCCCTCCCCATTCGCACAAAGTTCCATATTTCGAAGTTTGAACAGCATACCCTGTCAAAAAAGAAGTATTTACCAGAGATTTTGATCCTACCAGGGAACGCTTTTAAACTAAAAACTTATCCGGCTGGTTACAGTTTTAAACCTACCGCTACGCCAAATTCCATAGTTCAACTGCTCGTAGCTTCCGAGACTTTTTGGCCAGTCCACCGATACATCCCAAAGGGTGAAACCGATCTTCCCGCTTTCGCTTCGACGAAGCGCTTGCAGGAAAAAGGCGATGAATTCATTGGGAAAGCACGGTAGATACCATGGATGTTGTGAATGGATGTTGAATGGGAAGAGGGAGGGGAGGAGGAAGTCAGTCCAGCGGGCAGTCATGAAGAGGAAATGGAAAAGGAAGAGGAGGCACTCACAGCTACGAGTGAGGAGGAAGGCAATCGGCAAGACGAGGGGGAAGAGGCAGTGGTCATGGAAGAAGATGTGAAGGAAGAGGAAGGGGAGGGAGAAGAAGGACGAGGAGATGGGGAAGAAGTAAAAGAAGGAGAAGAAAAAGAAGGAGGAGAAGAAGAAAAAGAAGGGGGAGATGAAGAAAAAAACGTAGAAGCAGAGGAAAGAGAAGCGGGAGAAGAAGAAAATGAAAAAGAAGAGAAAGAAGGAGAAGAGAAAGAAGAAGAGAAAGAAGAAGAGAAAGGAGAAGAGAAGGAAGGAGAAGAGAAAGGAGAAGAGAAGGAAGGAGAAGAGAAAGAAGAAGAGAAAGAAGGAGAAGAGGAAGAAGAAAAAGAAGTAAATGAGGAAGAAGAAAAAGAAGAAACTGTGAAAAGCGGAGAGGAATCTCCGGAGGGACATCATGGTGAGACATAGAGAGAAAACAGGTGTGCAGCAAAAATGACGTATTCACGAGACCCTGTCCCAGGCAGCAAAAAAGAGCTCATTTTGACTATTGCTGACATTTGATATCGTTTTGACTTCAAAGTACCGATACTGATCCACAGCCTGTTGGGAGCCTCCTTGCCGGGTCTCTAGGGGTCTGGTAGGAAATGCTCGAACGAGTGATTCTACCTGAACCATTCCTCTCTAGAGTAGTCAGAGACTGTTACCTTAGATACAATGTTCTCCTCTGTCAAGGGAGATCCGAACCTACTCTAATATTGAGCCAATGGAGTGAGCTCCCTAGTTGAACTAGCCTTCCAGGACTCCCTAGTCCTTCTAGTCTCGGATACCTCCTTAGACTAACGCGTTGAGAAAGACCATTGTCTACCCTTAACTTATCCGAGGGAAAAGTTCGAGTATCGAATGAACAGTACTGGACTCGCTACGTAGATGATTTAGGCGATGTCTCGCTTTATTCATGGAAACCTTGTTCATTCGAGTAATTACAGGTAGGATACCAGCTCCCAGCCTGCATAGGAACGTTGAATAAATGTCGATGCTTGATGAAAGCGTTGAGTATGGTCTAAGGGATATCACGACACGTTTACGTAGTTTAGGGCTCATTTCTTTCCGCCCAAGACGCGGAAAAGAAATCTTGCCACCGGGGCACGCCAAGGTTTACCAAGGACGAGGGACTTTCTGACAGCACCTGCTTGAATCGCTATCTAAATTCATGACATTCACGGCGTTCTCGACTTGGGACTTTGTGTATATTCTTATTTCGCGAGTTACATTTCACGTTTGTTTTTTTTTTCTCTTTCATTTCTCAGAATTCCGAGCCGCGATCGCGACGAAATCGTTATATTCGGAAAGCTATCGTTGCCTCCTTCAATTCTGTAAACAATCCTTGACGACTCTTGAAGGAATTTTGACAGGACGATGGAGGAAAGATGGAACGATGGCAGGGTTCGTGCCACCAGCTGCAAATCCATCGCTCTATATTTATTTATTTACTTAGGGATTGATGTATTTGAGCTCCTCATGCTATTCAGCTAGTCGTGGCACCTCGTGCTATTCAGCTAGTCGTGGCACTCGAGTAAATGCCTGAATGCGATATCGTCCTGATGGCCAACACAGCACGGTTGAAATGATACGTTTCTCTGTCAACAATATCACACTAACGAACGTATACGGGACATGTTCCCGTCATGTCGTGTAAACGTATCGAATGCCAACATTCATGCAGGTGATGTCTTGTCCGCATCAATACGACATGGATTTCATGGCAGTGCACAGTGGTCCAACGCACGAAAAGGCATGGCCAAGAGTGAAAAGACGGAGAAAGTTAATTTCCTTTTCATTTCAAACCTGCATTGAGAAAAATATGCCTTTCACATAAATCTAGCTACAATTTCACCAATCAAGAAGCTGAATTATATATCCGTCTCATTTTAGCACTTGTACTATTTAACTTTACAGAAATAAAATAATTACTTTCAAGAGACGCATTAGACTTCTAATCGATGATACTTTTCGCTACTGTTAGTACCATTTGACCTTCACTCTGGCACGCTCAAGGGCACTTGATCGAAAGGAGATTGCTGGATTTGAGCCTTTCTGGCGAGAGGATTAATTCATTTTCTAACCCATGTTACAAAATTAAGTCTTGTGGTAAATGTTGTCATCCTTCCTTGGTCGCTAAAAGTCACACATTATCCTGGTCTGCTGAAGTCGGAAGTGTTCAATTAATATCCCGAGTGAAAGGAACTTTGCCGATTCTCGTCCAGATGGATAATTGCATCTGTATTCAGCAGTTGAAGCAAAAAAAGAGCAAGGTAAGAGCGGTCCATCTCCGAGTGGTATACACTAACGTGGGATACATAGAATCCGTTTCAATTAAAGGACCTGATTCTAGTTTCATGGGAAATGCGATAATTTAAAAATGGGGTTATTATGAGAATCTGCGTTCCTGAACGAGGCTCATCGCCACGGAATGATGAAACGAGGCAGGCGATCCGTTTTTGGCCAGGTTTCCTGCTCCGCTGGACCACTGCGCTGCGGCTGGATACGGGCATGGGAAAATGGAACGAATGTCATGCATCACGGTTATTTGCTGCTTGGGGTGGTATTTTGTGCTAACCGCCTCTCTTCGTAAAACAAGGGAAACATGCATATTGAAATATTGTCAGATTCAAGCACGTTTGTGATGTTTCGCTTCAAACCCAGTAATACTGCAAGGGACTCGTATAAAGCTCATATTGCGAAACTCTCGACGGAACGTTGCTTTTGCTTCACCGCCTGCAAATTGTAATACCATAAATGTGGATGTACAGTATACTATGCTTGCCTGCTGCTTTGTGACTTGTTTGCTTGAACCTTTTATTTTTGGTAGTTGAGCTAAAGTGAATTTTTTTTCTGTTAGCTGTAGAGTCACCAACTTATGCCATTACATTTTTTCTTAGTTTTTTTTTTTTTTAAATTACTTTTGGACCGAGATGCGTGAGGAAGGTGGAATACCTTTCCTTTCTCGCAGACGAAGGAGGAGAGAGTGTCGAGGAGGAGGAATCATCTCACAGCGCAGAAACGGCGATCCACAAATCCGATCAAGAAGCAGACAAAGTATGATGAAAATCAATTACTCAAGCATGAATTCCATTTATTCTTCCTCGTCATTCTGGATCGTGTCGATCGCGAATAGGGAGGGGAGGACGAGCACGAACACGATCCTGAGGAAGACTCGAGAGAAACGGAAGGAGGAGCAGAAGAGGAAGACCAGAGTGAAGAGAAGGAAGAAGGAGGAGAGGGAAACGAGGAAGACGTGAGTGGAGACGACGAGAGCGGGGAAGAGGGAAAGGAAGATGAGGAAGGCGAAGAGGAAGCGGAAGAGCATCTTCGACCTAAGGAGATGCTTGAAGAGTTCCTGGCCAAGGAACCAGATACAAAATTGGACCAAGCCACCGAGAAAGCCCTGAAGGAATTCAAGAGGCTTTATGAAATTGCCATTCGCCCGATGGAAACCATCTACAAGTATCACGACATCACCACCCGCCACTTTGGAGGTATCATCTAATTTTGTCACCTGACTCCACGCCTCGTTTGAAATTGGAAGTGTATACAGACGAGTTAATGCGGAATTGACTAAAAAATAAAAATAAAGCTATTTTAAATTTGAAAAACTTCCTCCATGATAATTGCCTGTTGTTTTATACAACGTCCTTTTCTTTCAAGGCTTCAGTCAGTCCCGTATGTAAACAAAAATATAAAAGTTGAATGACAAGACACTCCAGTTTTCGTTAATTCGGTTTGCTATTGATTGATCTGTTGCCTATGTATGTCTTGAATCATTTAGACTCTGAGATTCATGCCGTCCCGATGGTGCTGCTGGTGGGACCTTGGGGTACGGGGAAAACCTCTGCCATCAAGTACCTGATCGAGGGAGAGGATGATTTCCAGTCGGAATTCCACATCGGTGAATCTCATCAACATTCCTGCGCTGAAACTGCAAGATGTCGTTCCTTAACACGGTTCTTTGCCTTCGGCAGGTGCATCGCCTAAGGACGATCGTTTCCACGTGTATCTCTATGGGGATGACATCCGGAGGGAAGGAGGGACGGAGCTCAACTCCAATTGGGTCTTTGCCAGTCTGCAGAAATTCGGGATGGCTTTCGCCAATCGATTCCATGCTTCCAGACTTCCATCGCGACTCCTCAAAAAGGTCTCGACCTCTTGCTTCTCAGCTCGAAAAATGGATGGCGAGGGGTGCATTGCATACTTTTATATTATTTTATCGTGAACCATATCTTTCTATATCTATATCAGTAAAGAACGTAGATATAAAAAGTAGTTGGCCAAATTAGCAATTACCCGAATGGGCAGTGAAACTGCACTCACTTTCTATCTCTATAGATATAGAAAGGTTAAAATTGAGCCGAATAAAATACAAGACACACTAATGCTGGATGAACGAATGAATGGAGTGATTTTAATGCGTCAGGTGATATTCGTGGATACACCGGGGTTGCTGGAGAGCCGCAACGGGGAAGGACAGCATCGGCTATATCCCGTCAATGATGTCTTTCAGTGGTTCATCGACAGGGCGGATATCGTTCTCGCCGTCTTCGACCCTCACCATCTGGAAGCTGGCATCGAAATGGAAGCACTTTTCGATCAGTTGAAGGGTCGCGAGGACCAGGCAAGTGAACTCTCGCCTTTTCTCCCCTCTCCCCCTTCCCCTCTCCAAATGTGCTGTCTGCATGGACTCATTCATTACTTTGCTTCTGGGGTTCATTTCTTGCTTATTCAGTCACATGTAATTAATTGTTCTTATAGATTGATTTCCTCTATTTACAATCGAATTCTCCACTTTCACTACCTCCTAGGGGACCATCGTCAGAGAATAGATATCTATACCTAATGAAAAGTGAATGAGGTTCCGTTGCTCTCCGTTGGTCCGTGTTTCCTGCCGAAAGCACTGATGCAAATTGTGCATGTGGATAGAACCCCGTTCTCACTCCAGCTCTGCACTGGACCCTAATCACCACAATAGCGAGCGCTTACCTAACCCCCCCTCCCACAACTCCCTTGCTAGACGAAGCGAAGACGTGCGAGGTGTCTCTCTCCACCCTTCTAGGCTTCCTAGTCCTGGGTATTTACAGACCGTGAAGTTAACCTGTATTCCCCGAGAGCCGCGCACGCGCAGATAGCAGTAAATATCTGTAAATTCTGCAGATTGCTTTCCAGTGCCAGGTGCAATGTTTTTCTATCAGAGGCGCAAATGTTTAGTCATTAATTTAACGATGAAGGAGGGTGGAGAACCAAAACCATGTCTTAGCTTTTTTCTTAAATTTTGTTTATTTGCCCATGGATCTTCGTATAAACCTTACATAGTTTGACGAGTTATTGCTTCATGCTCAGCCAACCCATTTCCTTGCCAAAAGTCTGGTTTTTTTTCAACTCGATGCTTTTTTTATTTTCTCATTTATCGACGCATCCACGCAATACGTCGTCTCCTTGAGCATCTCGTCGCAATTGACTGGCTTAATCTCTTTTTCGTATTTATCCCCAACGAAGGTGAGGATATTGTTCAACAAGGCGAACGAGTTGAGCGCAGCGGAGCTGTCGCACTCCATCGCGACGCTCATGTGGAACCTCTCGCCCCTGCTGGGCGGGAACAAGCCGCCGAGAGTGTACGCCGTCGACCTGAGAGACGAGGAGGAGGGCGGGTATGAATCCGAGAGGTCGAAGGACAATCTGGCCTTGATCGAGTCCAACGAAGAGGACCTGGCCAAGGACATCATCGACATCATCCTGAACCGGGTCGAGAACAAGGCCACTCAGACTCGGAAACATGCAGTGAGTTTTTCCCCCTCTCATCTCGTTTGATCGACCTTGCCACGTGTGCATAGCAGGGATTAAGTCATGTGGAGCCAAGATTGGCAATCCAACTTCACTCTCGTGCCAAAGAAAAGCAGTGGATGGGGGATCCAATCTACTAGCATGGACATGGCTATTGCCATCCGTGGAGTATAGAAGTAATTTTTTTTTCACGAATAAAAAGTTGAATATGGAACATGAACCATCCAGAGGAAAAAATTCCCATAGCGTGAATTTATTCCCTTTTAGACATTACCTGTCGTCAAGTCACTTAGATTTTTTTTATTCTCTCAAGTCTTAAATGGAGTGAAACACACATCCAGGAAAGATGAGAGACTTCTCTGATTAAGCCGAAGTTGTCATAAGCATTCATGGAGACGTGACCAACGTTACGACATCCACAGAAATTCATCTACGCCCGAGAGAAGGGTCAGAGCTGGAAATATTTAAGATAATTTGAAAAATAAAATAAAATGTATTGGAGCACTTTTCAGAAATAAAAAATGGTATGCTAACAATAAGAAATTCCACACGCAGAAAACGAGCCAGTTTCGATAATGCACTTCAAGTACCTTGTTATTTAATTGCAGTAACGGATCACTTTTAATTGGACCACTTTCCTTTCATGGTTGATATGTTTCTTTTCACGCACGTATTCATTCATTGAATGATTTTCATCGACGCGTTTCCTTCCAAGATCCGAGTGCGTAACCACTCGAAGCTGGTGAACTGCTACCTTCGGACCTACATCCGCAGCAAGGGCTTCTTCAGCAACAGGAAGAAAGTGGCGAACGAGATCGTGGATCACCCGAACGATTACCGCATCTACGAGGGTGTGAGCACCCTCACGAACGTGTCACGGTACGACCTTCCCGACCCGGACGTCTACCGGGCCTTCTTCAAACTTCACGACCTGTGGGAATTCCCGAAGGCCGAAGACACATGCACCTACTTCAAGGGCTGTCCGCACGACAAGTTGGACCTGACCATCGCCTACGACCTGGCCGAGGTGGTCGGGAAATTCAAGAAGGAAATGGCCGGGGTCTCCATGGAACCTATCCCCCATGGTCATCACAATCAGACACACCCCGCCTCAAACTCAACCAAACATTAAATGAAAACACGTGAGGGGAAAAAAATTAAAAAGCTCTTGAGGTTTGAGCTCTCAATCATGGAGATCTCGTTCGTGCGACCGAATCAGCTGAAGTAAAAAGGTAATTTATGTTGACTCTACCGAAACATCATTCCAGTTTGTCCATGTAGTGACGTCATATGACAACCGAGATTGTTCCATATCATATGGAACCGTTGGGCTGTGATTCTGGTCTGACAAAATACAGATATCATCAGTTTTCCCGTCATTACAAGGAGAAAGGGGAATGATATTTATACACGCAGGAAAGACACACCATTGTGATATTTCGCTCTAGTCTAGTGAAAACGAAGTGTGGTTTTCGTAGCTAGTCCTGTATCTAGAGCCATGTCTCCATTATAGGACTCCCGATTTTCTTTCAATGTGATACTGTTGTGAACTCTCACTGTTCTTGGTTGGATAAAGAAGGTGAAAGAGAAGCACTTGGACATCTTCCTCCGCTTTTCATTTCATGCTTTATTCATACACGGATAAACTCTCGATAGAAGATGAAAACCAATGAGCAACAAAAAATAAATATTTCATAAATTAACCATGATGATACAACAATAACGGCAGAGAGAAAAATAAATGGTTAAGCACATGGTAACTCAACAGAAAGAACCATCTACGGCCATCACAGAGTATCCCACAGTAAATTATTAGTAAGGCATTTTACAAGAAGGAGGAAAACACAATAGCTATTAATAACTTAACCACATAATAATTTAATATTTTACTTGGTCCTGAGCAAATGTAGGTTCTGGTGCCAGGGAAGTTTTTTGAAGGGGCGATGAGGATGAGAAGGGACCTGCAAGGAACCGGAAACGTGGAGCTCATCCAACAGACGCTGTCGACTGATGGGCTTATGAATCAACAGATACTGGCCGTTCCATTCCTCCAAGTCTGGCGAATATCGAACATGCTGCTCGGGTTCATAATAATCATCATCCGGACCCGGGCGGCGGGAAATGTCTGGTTCGGACCAGGGATGACCCCCTGGGAGATATTCAGCATACTCCCTCCGGGGATAATCGCACGCGCACCAGTCCAGCCCGTCCTGGCACACTGAGCACCATCGATCCTCATCTTTGGGAGGACCATGCAGATCCTGATAGGGACGTCGATGGAAGAGTCCCCGGATCCGTTCCGCTTGGAAGATTTGCCGCGCATGAGAAAGGGAAAGCATATCGAGGAGCCGAGATTCCCTTGCGGGACCCTTAAGGCAAGTCTTCTCATCCGGCGGCAGGTTCTCCTTCTTCTTCCCCTTCCGCCGGAGATTCGGCGTTCTCAGCGGCTTCTCGGCGAACATGACCTCAAGGAAATGGGATTTCACGGAATGGGATTTCGCAGAATGGGAACGGGTGCTCAAGGGGTCCGGGCTGTAGAAGTTTTTGTGAAGCCGAAACGTGAGCATTGATTCGGCCTTGTCTTTCTGGAAGGAGGCAGACGAAGGCAAAGAGAGCATGGTTTCCGGTTCCCAGTCAGGTCCAAGCCAACATCAATCTGTTTTCGTCTTGTACGTGTTTTTCCAGATTTCAATGAGGGCGACGGAGGAGTAGAATCGATAGAAGATGAGCAGCGGCAAAGAGATGCGACAAATGATTCCCCAAGTCAGGTTGCCATAGAAAGCGATCTGCAGCTCCTGGGCGACCACGTCGTGTGTGAGGAACGTGTCCAACAACCACAGGGTCGCGTTTCCGAACAGCAGGAACGTCACCACCTGTAAAAGCCCCCGTATTACTATTTAATTTCTGGTCATCAAGGGTGTTATAGTATTTGACTGGTTCTGGTTTCCCATCCTACCCCCCCATTTGGACTGAACTTGGATAGGTGGATTGAACTGAAAGGTCGGGAAGATTTTTCTTTCCATCTTGAGAGAAAAGAGTAAGGAAACATGGACGACGTTGTGAACCTCGTCTATGCAAGAGTCAGATTCAGCCCAGACTCAGTGAAGGAGAATGAGTCAGCCTTAGACTTTACTCCTTTGTGATGTGGCCTCTTTCTCATTTTCGCGCTATTTGAAAGGAGATTGGGCACGAGGGAGAAGATACGTCTCCTTTCCGTCTCAAGTGATTCGACAAGGGGGTCGCTTCTACGTAACGACGGCTTTGTCGTTTAATAGGAATTAAAATATTTGATCCGTGAAGAAAACATAGGAATTGGTGCAGTCGCAGGAGTTCTTCCACTCTCCCCAATGGGAGAAGATCGACATATGGGGCAACGTTAACTCGAATCAGACTAACGATGGCCTGTGAAGCCAATGACAGACTTGGCTAAGAGCGAATCGATCAGTCGTGACACTACAAGGGAAGACCACGATGGCTTTTAGTTTCCTTCCTCCCCCCGCCCCCATGGGAAGGTAAGTAACGAAGGAAAAGAAACGCCTTACCAGTCACTAGTTACTTCTCAGCTACGAAACAGATAACGAGTTCTATTTATTAGAGAGTAACTATTTCATGTAACGAGTTACGATATAAATTAAAACAACGGGATATTGCTGTAACTGTAGTTAGGTTTTCCGGATTAAAATTTTGCGTCTCTTATTCTATAAATAATAAATTATAGGCAATTCTCTCCATCGATCGGTGTAGGGACTAAAAACATTAAATCCTGCCCATGCCTGTATCTCAAAGTAATAGCATAGGGTCCAGCTTCTAGCTAAGTAGTGGAGGTAGCAAGGTTATGATGAAAAGGAACAGCGGAATTCAAAGGAATAGACGTGTTGATGCTTTGTACCACGTACATATTGGTTTAGTTGTAAGTAATAAAAAAATTGTATCTTTAAATATCAGTAAATGCAGTTATTTACTTTTTAAAAATTTACCCTCTTTCTGGTTAAATTTTTGAGAAAAACTATAACTAGTTCTATTTTAAAAAGCATGTCCATCCATGCTCGTCCCGTACATTATATTCTGAATGTAACAGTCTCGTCGTGGCAGTTCCATTCCACATCGTTGTCGATCTTACGCATCTTTTTTGCAATACAGGCTAACGAAAGTAAACGTAGCAGGCCAATACAAGGAGGTTGTGTGCTTGAGCGTGTTCTCGAATAAGCGTACCTGTCGTCCGGGTTTGGTCCTCATTTCTTGTCGGGTGAGGCAGGTTCGCCGTGAAGCCTCATTGGTCAACAGGGCCTGCATGGAGACCTGAATGATCTGAAGACCCTGAAGGGAGATGAGGAGGATATGAGGATTTTCCTCTATCTTTCCGCTGACGCCGACCAGGATCCCGAAAATGGCGAATACATAGACGCCCACGATCGTCGTGGACGACAAGAGACGATCCAAATCCAAGGGTTTCTTCCCCGACAGGGAGAGCTTGGGGATTTGGATAAAGCCGACGATGGAGACGAGAATGCAGAGACCCAAGAGAGAAATCTCCGTGATGGTGTACATGTAAAAGAGCTGTTCCTTGGCCTCGAAGTGTCCCTTCATGATGTAGAAGATGATGAGTACGACGACGCCGCCCACGAGGCAAAGGAGACCCAAAAACAATCCTTTGGACGAGCTCTGACAGTCCACCTTCCAATGACCTTGGCTCCGCTTTCGGGGGTCGAGAGTGCCGTCCCCGGCGAGGTCAGAGGCCAGCCCACTCAGTTTCGCCTTGCTCAATCCCGTCTCTCGACCTTCCTTGGCTTTCCCTACGTTTTTCCACATGATGTACGTGACGGCGGCGGCGATCAAGCTGAAATGAATTGCGACTTTCAGTCTGCAAATGAGAAAGAGAAGCAGGGGCAAAAGTTTTAAACAGCACACCACACGGGATCACGTGTTCAATTTAAAAGCAACACGGAATGAAAGCAAAATGGATCATGCATGGTAGAACCACCAGAAGCAACAAAAAAAAAGAGAATTAAAAAGCTTGCACAGTGCTGTGAAGAAAGTGGGACAAGGACGACGACATATCAGTGACATCACGAGCAAATGGCATGCAAGACACCTGGAGAGGGGATGAGGAGGTTACCTGTACTCAACGATGAAAGGGAAAAGATAAGGTGTCGAACTGGACCATATTTGACCCAGTTTATTCCGATTTAGGCATTCGTAGAGGTCGATCATCTTCTGGGCGTGTGAGATGCTTCCATACATCGTCCCGTTGCACTCGCAATCCCTTACTGAATGTAAAAAATACACCCACAAAATTATGAACATGTGGCAAGGAGAATCGGTGAAAAAACCAAATATGCAAAGCATTCGAGCAGAAACGAAAGGCAGCATTGTAAAATGTGCAAGAGATTATATGCGGCTATGAGATAGGCGCACATGTCCATGTCCGAAGCCCTCTAGGATAGGCGTGCAAAAGATTTTCCCTCAGGCGGGAAGTGACGAAGACATTCCGAGTCCTGTACGGGCCACCGTATGCTGTCTTTCCATAATTCAATTTCTTGCTAACGCTTCCCGTTCTCTTCTACAATCTTCATGTTCTTTGAGCATGACGAGTTACACGAATTTCGATGTCGGTTCATTCGTACACACTACAAATAATACGTAAGTCTTCGGATAATTTGGTAGAATGCAAGGTTTCACCGCCCTTTCCCTCATGGCTTCCCTTGCAAAACGAGAATCTTTCCCCACAGTTTTCAAGACTACAGCCTACGCGCTTTCCCTGTGGGGAGCGGGCAGGGATCTGTCCTGAGAAATGCGGCAACCACAGAGTGGGGATGGCACGGCTCACCCTCCTCGTCGTGAGCAGTGTTGAAATAGTTGAAATAGTAAAAAATATTAATTTCAACTGTTACGGCATTTGTATAACAGAAATTCCCTCAAAATCTAACTGATCCCATAAGTCAAAACATTAAATTTCATTTTGTGAAAACTTCACTCCTGTTGCGATATGAAACGGTTGGAAATAAAAAAAAAAGAGAAAAAAGAAAGTACACGTTCAATAGTAACCTACACGAACGATGACGTCACAGAATCTCATCTACTGCGTAGGGATACGTTGTATCCCTACTTTCTAGAAAATGTGCGTAGAAATACATGGATTTATAGGTTGGGAAAATCATGACAAACTTCGCAAATAAAAAATTATTACATCGTTGCCAGTACAGGTCTCTGCTTTATAATGACTTCTTGCGAAGTAAGCTTTACAGATAGTATGGGATAAACAGTCCCATAATGTTGGAAGGCATCTGTCCGTGAGGGGATTCGCAACCTCAAAATGTTAAATTTTCTGGAATTGCTACTCTTGGGAGAATTCGCAGAAATTTCAACGTAGCACGGAAAGGAGAGCAGCAGTGCATTCACCACTGCTTAGGTCACACGACTTGAGGGATATCGTCTGCCCGTCGCGAATACGAACCTGTTCAGAACATACAAGTTCCCGTTTTGAGCTGGACCCGAATAAGATACACTTTGGAACCCCTCAGCAGAAACATCTATATTGGATCACTTTTACCATTGCTGTCCTCATCAATGCCACGAAGGATTTTTTTTTTTAAAGGATTTTGAATAGCGTGATATTTTGAGACAAGAAGGCTGAACAATTCAAAGAATCCATTTCAGGGGCAGTTCAACTTCAATCGTCGCCATCGTAGCAAGTATGAAGCATAATGAATTATGCAAAAGTTTTCACTCATGGAAGGGATTTCCACCCCTGTCCAGGACATTGATCGAGATCTCGTGAGATCGAACCCAGCACAGGACAAGAAGACGAGCTCTGCATGTATTGCATTATTATCGATGAGTATTGATATTGTTAGCAAAACAAAGGATATTCCCATTAAGATTGGTCACATGACTGGGAAAATAGAGTAGAACAGGCTCTTTCTGAATTATTGGTTATTTAGTGCCACAGAGCTGACTTTCACGGTCCAGTTCAAAGTGGGACACCCTGTTCATAGATAAAGCATTGCATGATCGGCTTCTACGGTCAGATGAAGCAATTTGTCGAGGTGATGCTGCTTACATGATGATCAGGGATGCGAATACCGAGTTCTCCCTGACTTCGTCATGCTATTACCGCAAGATAAAGTGGGGTTAAACTTTGGAATTCCTATTACTCTCTGCTAGCAGATTTCACTCATCTTGACATGAATCTACAGAGAGGACATGCTTCTTGTCACGACACGAATCCTCTTGCCTGAAAGATCTGCTCGAGGAAGCAGGACAAAGGCGCATCACGCGACTGAGTTTCGAGAACCCCCATTTTCTTCCCAGGAAAAAAAGCTCAGGAACTTGTATGGACCCCGCGCAAATGTGCATTGGGACTGATCATAACACAGTTTTATCCCTACAATCAATGGTCTGGAATGCACTTACCGGCCGAGTCGGGTAGCTGGTCCTTAGGGAGAGCGAGAAGGTGTTGGGATGTGGAAGCTGGGAGGTCTCGCTCCACGACACTGTGACCTTTGACCTGGATTGTGTCATAGGTCCATCGAAGCCAATCGTTGGCACTTTCCCAGACAACCATCTGGATCCAAAGGGCCACATTCGTGGCTACCAAGTGAATCAGCCCGAATCGGGCCGCCACCCCAAACCTCTCCACGATCACCTATATATTAATATTTGGACGGGACGTTATAAAGAAAAAACCTCCGCGAGGAACGGAACGGAAAGGGAAGGGGACCTCGGAGTTGACGAAGAGAAAGTGCATTTGGAGGAAGGTGAAGAGGGCTTGGAGGATGGGATGTGCGAAGATGATGTCGCTCACGCATCTTTCCTCTGTCGTCGTGTGCATCGCGATCTCCAGACCCGTGAACACCAGCGTCCCCAGACCAAACACTTGACAAACCATGACACGATTTCATTCATACAGTGTAGGTCGAAACAGGAAGAGACATGGGCCTCAGCCAGTATTGGAACTAGGCAGTCGGGTTGAGGCTAAGGGTTTTGACAAGTAGAGTGAAAAAGTGGTCGAGAGGGCTGAACACAAGCATCTACGCAAGCATATTTTCTTTCTCGAGGTAGCTGGACATTTCGAGAGAGAAGCACTGAAAAAGCAATGTGCTTCACCCCAAACACTCAGAGTATAATCATAGTTTGTTACTCAACTCAGCGGTAGATCTGATGTCCCAAATCTTGATGAGTCGCCATTAAAGCACTTACCATATCCTGTAGAACTGCTCCTCTTTGCCACAAACTTTTGTTTGCTTTTTTTGCATTTTTGTTTCGGGTGGGGAACTTCCCTCAACCCCCTCGATTCATCCCCCTGCAATTCCATCCCTGGTCTCAGCACCCCTTTGCCCATGAATTTCTGCTTTTTTGTAACGGGTTTGAGGCTACGGTTCAGATCACGACAGGCATCTTAATACAAGCCCGCAATTTCAAACGACCCGCACGGAGTGCATTGTGAATACCTTACTAAATTATGCAGTGATTCCTTGCTGCTTCATCTTCCTTCCTCCCTTAGTTTCTCCCCATGGCCTCATAGTGAACTCATGACCCTTTTATTCATGAACAGGAAATCCCAATCATTCTTTTTTTTTCATTACCCAATTTCAAAGAAGTAGGCTTATGAACTGAATCTTCAACTCATCCATCGTACGTTCTGCAGGGGGTTGACGTTAAGCTGCCCTCTCCGTTGGGGTTGAAAAAAGTAAAATATTATCCTTGAGTATCATTTCGTTCAATTTTAATTTATGCGAGTGGGTGGATTCGCGTTTGTTCTGCTGAATCCAAAGGAAACTATTAGGTCCTGTCTATCACTTGATTACTTTATCGACCATTTTGCTGCCTGTCATAAATGCTAAAGCCAGTTCCGGCACACAAGAAAAAGGGAACGAAGTCATAGTCACAGTTGATCGAGCAAAGATGCCGAGATCTACCAGGTGTGCGAGAGTCACGACTCATTATATCATAATTTCAACCGCAGGACCCAAATATTCTGCAACGAGAAAGATGGCCTAACATGAGGGGAAAGGGGGAAAGAGAAAACCGCAACAAAAAATCGGCTTGTCGAATCGGGAAGGAGGGGAATCCGGGTCAGGAGGATAAACAATGTGAAGCAGTAGGCCACATGTGAAGCCGACTGGATCCGATGGAAACAAAAAAGAAAAGAAAAAGCCAAGAGACAATAGCCGGCCACTCCATCAAAAGAGTGTGACTCATGGGATTAATTGTCAATATGTGGTGTCAAGCATCCATGTTCTCTCACCGATGAGACCCTGTTCCCCTGAATAATACCTGGATGCACCCCATATATTCTTTTCAAAGGAGATGCTTGATTTCCCTGTTTCACTTTCCGTGTAAAGGAGATTCACCGAATGGAACGAATTAAATACTCCTGCGGACACGCTAGACTGCTTCTACGCTTCTGCCGCACTTCTCGGTATTCAATTAGGCCAACATCCACTTTTGTTTTTTGACGTTGAATTTGAGAGCAAAAATATGGTGGTGCTTTTTCTCTCATACAAGTAGTGCGTTAGATGGGTCAGAATAGTCACCATTTTCATCAGCCATTTTTCACTCATTCCACATCCTGTGGCTTGATCAGGCATTGTCTACGACTGAAGATCTACATTCTGATGGAGGGACTGGTGTCTCGGTCGTTCTTGCGATCCTTAACTACATACTGTATATCGTGTGCGAATCGATGACAAAAACGAACTAACTGTAACGGCCAGCGCGCCCACGTGAGAGTGGCTATTTCGATCCGCCCAGTGCACTCCTACATTTCGTCCATCCGAAGACATGGGGATTGAGACATGCCCTTGATGCTGGCGTTGAAATCTCCCATGGAAGGAACGGGTCGTAGATCCGTTACGAGATAGGTCCATCGGATTCTTCACATAGTTACCCAAACCATGCACCGTGAACGCGGATTTCCCGGTTCCCACCATTAACAACAAGATGGAAATGTCACTGCTGCGATCCTATAATGCATAATGAAAGAGCGCCCAGAGTCTAGCCATATCCATTTATAACACGTAAAATATAATAAAAACCGCTTGACATATTATCAAGGCCCCTTGGAGTCTCTCCGTAACTCTGCATCTTACACCCACGAAAAATGGAACGACAAACTTTTTGCGGAATGGTACAGGAGCGTATAGACGTAACGATGAAAATAAAGCGCAGAACCGTCTATAGTTCGAGAGTTATCCTCAAAGAGCTGTTCCCGTCCTCCTCCAATAGCTCACTATAAATTTAAATAAGTTGTTTTCCTCTTTCAAGGTTAGATTCCTCCCTAGTCCCCTGAGAAAACCCTCCCACAGGTAATGAATTCTAGACACAAATCCCTGAAAACCCATACTTTCCAATCATATGTCATTTCCTCTTCCATTCCAACCCTTGGGATACTTGAATCCGGAATTAATTCACGAAAGCAGGAACGTCCGTTTGCATCTCATTCTTTACCACGCACCGTTTGCGGACGAGGTGCAAAGCATCAATTCCAAATCTGGGAGAAAAGTATTATGCCCTCCGAGCACTTTACGCCTATATCTTGACCTGATCTAGAGCATAATCACCAGCCCCTGATGCGAAAGACGAAAAGAAGCAAAAACAAGATGGGTGAAAGAGGAGGTAAAGAACACCCTGACCCAACAAGCTCACGACCATTCCTGAATGACCCATCGGGCTAACTAACTGAAGGACATATGGGGTATAGAAGAAGATTGGAAATGGGATTCTGGTCACGTACGCGGCCATCTGCCCTGAATTTTCTCCCACGCAGTTAGGAATTTGGGGGTAAAATGGCTAAACTGGGACAACTTAAATTCCAATCGACCCCCCGAACGTGTGGTCGACTCAACCTTCGAGTTTTACCGTTTCACCCGAATAGTTGATTTTCGGCATGGGACTTGATCTCCATAACAGGACCAAAGTCTCTCCCTTTGAGCCAGTCATATCAGACGTGTCCAAAAGTTGTATGAGGCAATTCCAAGCATCGATTATGCGCAAACCAAGTCACGCGGGGGATTGAACCAAGCAACTACTTCCACGATGAAACACCTCACAGAGTATGATAAGGTGGTACAGGTCAAGGATTCCCACTTGATATTAAGCAATGCATATTTTGCCTGCCGATTAAGGTGATTAGAATCTCTCTCGCTCTTACCGATGGCTCCAACGCGGAGATAAAAGCTGGTGCGGGAGATTCGAGAGCGCGATATATGAGCTCGTCTTAGGGTGCCACTCCAGTTCCTGAGGGTACCTCCGCCAGAATCCCCTCCAGTTCCACCACGGGTGCTCTCTACTTCACCCTCTTCTGCGGCGGCCAGCTCTTCCCTGCTCCCTTTCGTGAGGCTCGGGCAGTTGTCCACCAGTACAGTGATGTATATGCACATGATCGATATGATGCTCCCCACGTACAGGTACATCACGAAGATTCCCTGCATCATACAAGAGCCATTCATGAATCAGTCGAACTCCATTGACCCAGAATCGTCAACGCTAAGTAAACCTTTAATGGCATGACAATAACGGATGTCGGCTATCTATTGACATTCTAAAGTACTCGAAGAAGTAGGGCACTGGAGTGTAATAAGTATTAATAAGTATATATAAGAAGTACTATGAAATGTATGCAGATACCAGGATGCAGTTTTTATGCTGTGGAATTTCCAGAATTTCCTATATGTCCCAAATTCCAGCTTCTTATTTTTGTTTTTGTTTTTCGTTTAATTTGGTATGAATGCATGAAAGCGTTGCAGGAATTGGGTGCCATTTTACGCATCGCTGACCCCGGCCATGCCAGTAAATTGGTCATGTATACCTGATATTGTAGAGGCTTGACGGAATTGTCCATAACTTCGGTGAGGCAGAAGGCCAGGGCACAGAGGACGATTAATTTCCCGTACATCGCACTCAGTGACACCCAGATCCATGGCCTGAGGAAGGAAAGGCAAAAAAAAGCAGAAACTCAATTTAAATATAATATAAAATATGAACGCTAAATTGTAAAATACAAAGTGATTCAATAAATGCTGATATTCTGACCAGTTAACTTCTTGAAATAAAATGTAATGAAATGAAGACCTGGGCTGTCGTTTGTCCCTGATGCCACCGGAATGCATTTCGATCGGTTCGGCCAAAGAATCCGAAGTACTCAGAATCGTCTTCTTGTGCTTCTTCTTGTGCTTGCTTCGTTTAAGTCCGGAAGAAGGGACCAAAGCACTGGAAAATGTCCCAAGGTCCTTTTTCTTCTGCAGGCTGCTGCTCGTATTATTGTGATTCCCTCCTGGGTCTGTTGAGAAACCTCCTTGAGCTGTATTAGATCCGCTTGGCACATTCCCGTCCAGGCTATCCTGCTCCGGGTGACCCTCGTACGCTAACGGATGAAATAATGAGATATATATGAACACAATTGTTATTCCCGATTTTTGCTATTGCCAATAAGATGTATTGGGTCTGCGTCCAAGACTTCAATTGGAGCTCTAGATTTTATTATTAAACTTAATCACAATTGCAGACCAGTAACCTGGTTCCTCGCCTGCATCCCTCTGACTTTCTGGGTCAGAGGGATGCAGACGCAAAGCCCAGAAATGAGTTTCTTCTATAGTTTTGTCGAGGGTTGTCACGCCTCAATATTCTTTCCTTCTCTCAGGAAGGAAGAGAGGGGGCGAGAAATCGAAAAATGATGACATTCTTAGACCTCACATACCCCTAGATACTATCTTATTCATCTGAGAGCTACAGGCAGTTTGTCAAATGTCAGGTAGGATGGCAATTATTTACCTGAAATGTTCAGGCATCCTTTATCAACTGCCTTAATTTTAGCGGTCTTAGCGATGGTGAACCCAGAGGGGACCGAAGTTCCTGAAAGCTTTTATGAGTGTGTGCAGAGAAAATGTCAATCTTACTTTGTCCCTTGTGCATGAAATCAATTCAGATGTATCTATTGCCTTGATATAAAAAAATAATGTCGATTGAATGAAAAGCAAGACATATGACTACAAACAGCAATGGTACTTCTCATCGACATAATACATATACCTACATTCGTTATAATCAGGTCATTCTTACACGTGGTCTCAGATACCACTTCATTTATATAAGCACAGACTGAAGCAGACTCACTTGTGCCGCATCCTCGTGCACTGAGACTAGAAAAGCACAATCTCGTATTCGTCTCGATACTGAGAACTAATACTGAGAACGAAAGAGCGAACTAAGGGTTCCTTTCACATTCGAGAAGAGGCGGAGCTCAAGCATGCCCCTCTTCCTATAAACGAACGCCAATGTAGGACATACCGTTTTAGATCATGTACACCCACAGAACTCACCGTTGATGAGACGAAGGACAGAAACCTTAAAATTTCCGAGTTTCGTCCCCCCAGGCCCACCCATGATATCGAAACACAGGATCACGGATACGATATCGACGACGACAAGGGAAGAAGGAAAAACAGTCCCGATATATATGGGAGTGTGATGAAGCCAGACGGAAGAAGCTGCTGAGAGCCTAGGCACTCTCACAAGGGAAATCAGTGAACCGTGAAACCAAACATGGCGGATGACGGTTTTTTCTCTTTATGGCCTCCATGAACTTCGGCTTTGATTATATCCTCCTCTCCCATTAACTCTCTCTGCAGTGTTTCCTCCATTTCCGCTTCGATTCAAGTGCGCTTACCACATCTTCAATACGTCAACCTCGGACGCGGTCGATTGTCGCACCGTGACAAATGACACAAATTAGAATCACAAGTCTCATTTATCACAAATAAACATCCCCCGCAGTAATGGTGTAATTTATGCCTCCCTCGATCGACCAAGCGTTCCTAAAAGTAGTGCCAATTTCGTGAGCACCCTCAGAACAATATTTTATTACCGCAGGGCACGGGACGTAGATGGATTCGAAGATTCGAGCATATACTTCTTGCTTCCGGCAATGCGTCGGCAATTTTTCCCCTCACGAATGAACGGTAAATGATTCGCAAGATCACATGGATATTATTTCGACCTCTGTGTATAAATTACTTGATAAGGATGATGAAATAAGGTCGTACCGATGAAGTAGCGAGGTGAGGTTCTGAACATAGCCTCTCATGGGGAGCAGACCGGGGGAGAGCACAATTTCGGACACAGTCCAAAACAACTAGCTTTTTTCGTCAAAGCCAAGAGAATACAAGATCTGAGAAGGAGGCCGAAGAGAAAAACGGAGAAGGAAAAATGTAGGGCTAGCAATGGTATTGGATGCGAACGTGTGCGGACGGCGTGGAAGGATCTTGAGGAACCAGCCGAGCGAAAAATCCCTCCCAGTGGGAATGAGAAAACATATAACAGTTTGTGTTACACAAATCCTTCCCACGTGAGAAACAGTTCGTGACACACGCCAATCAGCACGTAAGGGTCATCAGATTCCCGCCGTTTCGTATGCTTCCGTCTTCCATACAATTCAGCTGCTAATCTGCAGGACCAATCCATTTCTTCCTTCTTTCAGTGTGTCGAATCCATTTCACTCTTTAAGGAAGTCCATGTAGCGGTAGAGATGTGGTCGCGCATGATTTGTCTCATCCTTTAAAAGCCCTTGAAATAGGATCCGTTATAAATCGGGGTGCCTCTCAAAGAGTAGAAGTCAGCTGTGAAATTTTCATGCCAATGTATGGCACGAGTCCGGAAGAAGTCACGATAGATGAGATCGAAGAACCACGGAGATTTCCTCGTTGTCCTCCAGAAGGAAATAGGCACAACCCTTTCCTTTTGTTTCAGACGTTGATATCGAAGGACTATCACTTAAGGTAAGCTTCTTTTTTTCCCGAAGAGGTATGTTACAATAAAACTACAAATGAACTCACTCTCCCAGTACGTAGGCCACAAATCTGCGACAGTTCGAAGGAGCTTGGGCTTCATTGTGGACAGCGTTATACCTGCGGAACTCCGCTCGTGTTTCCGCTTCCTCCCCTCGTCTTCCTCCTCTTCCCCTTTCCTCTTCTTCCTCCGGTAATGATGGTGATGACGGTGATGACGAACGTGGTGCTGAGGCTCTGCGAATGCCATGTCTTCGTTCGACGGCCGGAACGGTGGGGCCGGAGGAGGGGATTTCTCGCTGCCCGCCGCAGCCTCCACTTCCATCACTCGCTGTCTCACGTAACACTCGAGTTTGGTGGGCGGGGAGACGGAGATGGAAGGCAACTCCCGGCGGACGTAAAGGGTATCACCACGGTCCGTCCCCGGCGAACCCATATCAGTGAATGAAACGGTAGAGTACGTCGTGAGATGCAGAATCAAAGTCACAGACGAGCAAGCACCAGGTCATGCAGAAGAAGACCACTTTTCGCGTCCACTTTTTTCCTTCTTCTTTTGCTCTTTTTGCTTCCATTCCCTTTCGATGCTCTTAATGATGACGATGAACGACTTCCGAAATGGTTTTCTGTAGGGCAATGACACGCTCGCATTTGATTGCCGTGGACGATATACTTTCTCCTTGGGTGTGGATTCGCTTCAAAGACAATGTAGAAGAGACTTTCTGCACAGAAGACTGTCTAGTCCTCGTTTTCATGGATTCATGGGTCCGATATTCGTGTATATGGGAGCCAGTCGTTCGTGAATGGGCTATGATTTATTGCCCCAATGGATACTCCACAGTTACGAATGGAAACGTTTCGCTGCCTTCATGACTCATCCACTCCATGACAGCCTTTTTCCAGTTGGGCTTCGACTCAGCCGATCACCTCCAAATTTTTTATAAGGATACAACGCCAGAGTGGAAGTTTTATTGTTTTCTGAAAACTATAACATTTCAGAGAGTTTGCAGAGATGCCATCTATGGAGATTTGCGAGCTACCATAGAGAAACATGGGGAATGAGGTGAAGGTTCCTCTGACAGACGTGCCGGAGGGATCCCTCAATTGCATTCGCCAAGATTTCTCTCCTTCGTCCCCATCCATACACCCAAGAGCAAGAGCACTCCCTTCATCTTTCATCTCGCTTGATTGTTTAAATTTGTATTTCCAATTGAAACCATCGCAGCACAGCATTCACAACTTATAGGAACGGGAGGCTCATCAATGAGAGAGCGAAACGTGCTTTCCGGGTCCATTATAGCAAACGACAAAGCTACCCTATTTACATACAAAGGGGAAAGGTAGTCGTTGTCCACATTTTCGTCTTCCAACCACTTAGAATGGTCGAGTAAAGTAATGAACCACCTCCAGCTAAATAGGTAGCTTGGCAGAAATCCAGGAGATCCGTGCATTGAGGTTCCGCCGTCGATATGAACTCAAACAACGCCTCATAGATTATCTTACCCCCTATCTACTTCCCCCCGTCGGAGACCCTTCATTAGGATTTCACGCCAATTTAACTTCGTTATAATCCTGACAGATGACTGCTTTTAAATGATGAGCGAAGGTGTATAATGCAAGATTGGCTCTGGGGCTCCCAGCGTTCCTCTCGTCACCCGAGGCTATGCTAGACATGTACTCAAGACGCAACGGTGCTGCCAGTCCGAATACACAGTGATGATTACAGACTCCTTCTCTCATCCTGTGGCACAGCGGTTCTCAACCTATGTACCGCTGCACCCAAGTTGAGCACTGGGTGCTTGGAGTTTTCATTTTATGGTCTTGCATCTGAAGAAGGCAAGGAGGCAGGAAGACAATAATGTCCTTTCCTCGGATTTAATGAAGGGTTTCAGCAACTCTTGGATTGTGCACCTGCTGATAAACCTCTTTTGAAAGGGTGAAAATTTTCTAACTTCTGACTATCAATCAAGGAAGAATTACACAGATCTGGTTGTTACAGAAAGTTACTGATTCTTTCCACCACCTGTGTGAGTTTGCTTTCTCATTTGCCGAATATATGCAAGTTTAGGTCCTGTCTCAACATGGCATTCATCTAGTTGGATTTTCTTTAAAAATGTAACAGAGTCTGAACTTCCTGTTTAATTGGTGGCAGGCACAGGTATCACATTGAATTGAAATGAACGAATAGTGAAATGTTGAATTAATAGTGCTGGAATGATCGTCTTGCTAAGCGTTAGTTCATAACAGATCTTTCATTAATAAATATTGAGACCCTGGTTAAAGACTTAAGACTGTAAAGTCTTTAAGTCTATATGTGTTTCTTGAAGTTCGTTAGAGCACGGGATGTCACCGATGCCTCGTTGCTCAAGAAGTATACAGTTGGTTGTAAGACGCTGAAAACGATGCAATGGCTTATCACAGAATCAGGTACATCAAGTTCCAGGAAAGTCGTGGCTGGTGGACTCTATCGTTGGTCATTACAGCGTCACCATTGCAACATGTGTGCCAACTGAAGTTCCCACTCTTGCCGATAGGGTTCTCCACCTGTATCGGCTCGGCGATTTATCACGGTTGAGTTAACATGTATCCCCTCACACGTAGAGGCTTTCTGACCAATAAGCCAACCCATGGCGTGAATAGATGACTGTAAAATGAGCGAAACAAAAGCATGACGTGACAAGACCCGTCATCTGCATCGCAGAATTTTTTTTTGACGTGGGAAAGCTGCAACGGTTCTCGAAGTCGATGACGGTACCCAAGTTATTACTGCCTCATTTGCGTGCATGTGCCCCCAAGTTTCTCAAAACGGAAAAAGGAAAAGAGGGCAAAAAGCTTGCATTTGCTCTCGTTTCAGAATTCGGAGTAGGCAGGCACTACGTATCCGGCTCATATCCACAAGGCGTGGAACATCCTTTTCCCTTTCCTCTCTCATATTTCTTCATCACGTCCAGGCGATGGTGTCAGCGGTATGCCGCACTTCTCTCAATTAAAACCCCGTTATCTTACAAGGGGGACATTTAGAGGAGGTGAATCTTCCTTGACTACGAAGGAAAATGCCCCTAGGCCAGCTTGCCCTTGAGAATGAAGAGATTTTTAAAGAGGAGGGCACGCGAAACGATTTGAGTGCTCTTTGAGGAGACTAGTGGAGCGTGGAGAAAATTATAACTTACAACTGAATCTGAAACAATGGAAAGGGCTTCTCATCTCCTTGCCTTCGTGCAGGACAGAAGGAAATTGAGAATGAATAATTTGCTACTACCCAACATATCTTAACGTTTCAATCACTGTCGACAGTTAAGGATGAGAGGAGCAGTCGATCACGTCAACGAACATTGTCTGACGGGAAGATCAAGGAATTATATGAGATTTCCTTTGCCCTGGAGTCCTACTTTAAAACTGGTTGGCTGTACTCATGCACAGTGGGGTTTTGTTGGATAATTGTCAATGATATGATAATCGTAAGTAATTATGCTAAGCTGCCATAATCAAGTGAAGACGACAAAATTTTTTTCAAAGTTTCATGGAAAGAAGTCCTTGGGCCTGTATCTGCCGTTCTTGGTGCAGAAAAGCATATTATAAGAAGCCTTAGAGATGAAAAAAAGGGATTCAATTCCTTTCATAAAATCTCAGCAAAACTGAACCCGACCTAAAATTAACTATATAAAATGCAAAAAAAAATTATTGGCGTTTAGGAGAGGCCCAGTCGGAACGAGCTTGTTAAAGACAAGAAAGTCTGAAAGGAAATACAAACTGTTTTCTGTAGAATCCCGGATGCGTTCTCGAGCACTGACCTTGAGCTTGCCGGCAAGAGTTTGAGCAATGGGGCGCAATTAGTGTGCGACGATGATCGGAGAGTACACGCATATAAGATTTATAAATACAGATGCATCTGACAAATGGCGCTATTCGCATCCAAGTTTTAATGAAAGAAGTTCTATTAACCGCAAAGTATATTGTAAGAAGATCAGAGTCGGCCGAATAAGCTGAACGTCAGTGTGGATTAGAGATGTTTTGAATTGAGCTAAACTTTGATGTCATTCAGAGTAACTTTGAAAGTTCACTTCTACAAGACATCCGGTTTCCGGATTGATGCTTATTATTAGGCGGTATGTAAAAAATGTGCACTCGGATACGAGCACGAAGTAAATTTGAAGAAAGAAAGAACCACCTATTGTATTCACTTCAATCGCTCACCGCGTTCACGACGAGGCATGTCGACCAGGCTCTCCTTTCCCGAATCCCATCAGAGAAGTCGGTATCAACCAAGAAACATAATGATATCCGAAGTCGGTTCGAGAGCACGAGAGAGCGGGGAATCACAACGTATCAGGACGGAAAGCCGCGCGGCAACTGGCGGAGGATGTCGGCCAGCGGGAGATAAAGAATACAAGGCGACTTTCCGCCAGCTGGACACCAATTACCTCTCAAGAGTCGAGATGATGATATTTCTCTCCTTTTTTTTCCCCCTCCCCCAATCCTTTTCTTGAGTTCTCTTTCTCGCCGTCTCATGCTTCATAACGAAAACGACAGATGTCTGACCCTGATTGCACTTGACCGCCTTGCTCTTCCGTCCATCGAATGTAACGAGTGAAAACTCTTTGATATCGGGGCAGCCCCATTTAGAAAATCCCTCCACCCACGCCCTTGATTGCCTCCAAACATGATAACAACGAAGAAACAAAAAAGCTGTTCGCCTGTATAGCGGTTTGTTTTTGCTCGGACATGGATGAAGGAGCTTCAAAAAAGGGTAGAAAAAAAAACATGAGAGTACCTTTGGGGATTCCTTCCGGGCTGTTCTCTCATCTCCTCGATTAATCATCAGCTCTTCTACCGCGGCTCTCTACCAGTTCCCTTTTATATCCAAGCATGGCAGATGGAGGAAGGATGTCCCGTCGGCACAACGGAATGTACGCAGGGGTCTTCGTACTTTCCGTCTTCAATTTTCTTTATTCCTAGAGGCACTATTCTCGAGTGCCGGTTATGATTGTGATTAGGTCTAAGAATATATTTATACCGTGCGCCGTTATGGCTTCTTCGATCTCATTTACCATTCACGATGGCATTCAAGTACGTGCCCGTTCGTACTAATTGCCATACTTGTGGGAAATGAGTATGCCCTCGTGGAGTCCTGTTCCTATCAGACTTCTTGCAGTATGGCGATTGCGAAGGACGAATGGAAGAATTATTCTACTGGATAATTCTGCGCTTGAAAGTCGAAAGCTATTTGGACCAAAAATGTTCCTCTCGTGATGCATTTTTTATCCTTAAATCGGGACTCATGAGTGTCTTGGGAGGAGATTTCAACTTTCAGTTTGCCGGATTTCTTGGTTTTATTTTACGACTAAAAGTCACGCCAAATTGGTCGTAGGAAAATAACGATCGATCGCGTTGAGCATGAACTTTAAAAATTAGATTTCTTTGGCGCCAGAGGATTGAGTC